CGGCGGATGGTCTGCCAGAATACTTTGTTTGCCGTGTGGAATCACGCTTGATAAATGCTCTTTATTGCCTGTCTCGTTCTTCATGCTGTCAGCAGAAATGATCGATGCTTGTCGAGCTTCTTCAGAGAAATTTGAGAAATAAAAATTTGATTTGAATTAATTTTGGCTGACTGGTAAGAATGCATCGCTGTTATAAACAGACAACAATGTCACACAACTGCAACAGGCAGAGCAGAACGTTACGCATGGCTTAATGTTCTTAATATTCTATGTCAACGAAGTATTGGCCCATTAATCCCACAGTAAGCAAATGATGAAATAACGTTTGTTTTCACAAACAAAGCAAAAAAGATTATTTGCAACAATGGAATCACATGTTAATACAGGAACTCCACGCCTCCACGCAAAGCGGCGTTCCTCGTTACTTTTACTTTTTTATTTATTTTATTTTTTTAATTTTTTGATTGTAGAATCCATACTTCTCAAGCTAGACGTTGTCAGTTTTATTTGTTCATATTGCTTTTTCGAAAAGTGATATAGAACCACTATAATTTGGAATGATGCGATAACATAAATCAGTTGGGCAGCTGAGGATGCTTTGGCTTATGCTTCATAGTCGAGAAGAGAAAACAAATAGGCATTAAGTTGTTTTAATAGTTAGTCTCCCTTACACTTTAGGATTCAGGCCTAAAAGTGGCTAAACCTGTATTTTTTAGTTGCTAATTCACTTAAGCAAGAGATAAACTGAACTTTGATTAGACGCAGCCAAACGAAAAACGGGTAGTAGGAACTTTGACCTGCGAATAATTATGACAGAATAATGCTTTTGTGTAACCCTACAATGGAGTAAGGGGCATACAGTCACACTCTTACGGCAGCATTTAAAGTTGACGTATATGATATCTGTCTAAAAATGAGTTCCACATGTAAACATAAATCAAAAATTAAAAGCACGTTGTTCAGAAAGAGTGGGTGCATATCTCGGAAGCTAGAGCGTAATTATTTCATGACATTGTGGTCTCATTTAATCCTTTATCTTCTGCCAACACTTTTTGTGCATGTAAGTTTTTACTGCCTGATCGTCTGTTCCACTCTTCACTTCGGCCAGTTAGTCTTATTCTTTCTTGTCTAACTTATTACCCTTACCGTTTTGGAGCTCGTTTACCAGGCATACAGCAACTGTACCAATTTTGCTTCTTCGCATCAGTGATTCCATATCTTGAAACTCGAGGGTATTGCAGGTCTTCCTGTTGAGCAAAATAAGCAGCTTTTATTTATTCCGTTTTTAAATTTAATGAATAACAATATCTGAAAAGTAATAAAAATGATAATAATTATTTCAGTGCCTAGAAGCCCGAAAGCTCTCTCTGGCAAATTGTGCTTCGTGCCGTAGCTCTCACTGGTTTGGGTAAAGTATTCGCTTCTCGGTTGGGTTCCATCGATCCAAAGGGGTGGGTACATACTTCTTCCAGAAGAATTCGTTATGGAAAAATTATTGCATTTTAAGTTTGTAAATTAAGGTGGAAATTAAACAGCATACAGAAAACACTACTAAACTACGAAGTTATATCTCAGTGCAGACAGAGAGTGTTGTGGTGCTCAGCTTGGTTCACAATGCACTGTCTAAAATTTGGTAAAAATTTAAGAATGAAACGTGTCTACAGGAACTTTCCAGGCAACAATTCTTTACGGATATAGGCTATGTGAAATACCAGCGAACCTTGTCGGTATCTCATGCTGTTTATGGTTTATCGAATCCTTCGAATTTTCAATACTAATCTAAAGGATTAGTATATAATTGAAATATTGGACACGATACTGTTTAAGATACGCCGTAAAGTGAAAATAGGCAAATTCTGTAAAATGCCTGCGAACAAATATTTAATTCTTAGAGCTGTTACTACTATATACAAAAAAGCCACTACAGTTATTATCACTACTTGTTGATCATTAACTGAAAAACAGGATACGGTAGATTTCCTTGGGATTTACCGCTTTAACGCACACGTGTTGTGCGGTGTTGATAAGTTTAATTTGTTTTATATAGAACTTTTTCTGTTCAAGAACGAAATCCATGGACTGGTTCTCGTCAAATTTTATCCGGGCCTATCCTTATCTAAAAAATGTTCAGCTCCTGTCCTCCGGGAACCATTCGGAAATCTCGTTGTTCAAGGAGCTGCACCAGCGGAACGATTACGTTGCGTTGTACTTCCTCGGCGATCGTTCTTCTTTCTGCCGTTTGTTCAGCGAACAGTTTGGGCGCTTTGTGGAGGCGCTGGTTCGAGCCTTGGTGCAGGACCCATTCGCGGCACGCCGGCAGTCCGATTCGAGTTCCGCCATTCCGAAGGTAGCGTCGATCATCATTGGTAGTGATAAAGACTTTACTTTGTTGTCCTGCCCTTATTCGTTGTACATCTTACCGGCTGCGGAGACAAAAGCTAAGGTAACGGCTTTAAGCATTTTACACAACATTTTATACTCTCCCTTCCCCGTGTTTTGAAATTTCAAATCTTAAGGAATATGAAACTTTAAAAACTCCACATTCAATCAACTTGTTTAAAAGTTTTTAACTTCGTGATCAGTGATGGATGTGATTTTGAACTTTTGATATTTAAATAACGAAAAAAGGATACAGTCCAGATGAAGCATGTTGTTTGATCGTGTCGTTTAACAATGCTTATTAGGTCAGTGTGCCACTGTCACACTTAACATCTGTAATTGTGTTGTAACCAACGTTTTAAATTCAATTTGTTTTAGCGTGTTAGTTATAGGAGTACTCTAAGTTTGCTGCTCAATGTCAGCTTCAGTCGTGATACTGAAACGGCTTCTGGGCAAGGATTTGCCCTCTCAATTTGTTAGTGTCGTCGTGAATTTTAGCCAGTCTGCAGTTTCGTAGAACAGCTGAAGATGATGACAATGCAGCAACAAAATTAGAACGTTGGCTGTAGCGCTACTGTGGCTATACTCGACAGTATCTCTAGGCAAACTATAGTCGCAGCAGTGCTAACAATATACTACCGTTTTTGACTGAAAGGGGTTGGCAGGCCCAACCAGAGTCTAGCCTTCTTGTACAACATTATATCCTGGGTATTTATGCATAAAATTTTCCAGATTAATTTAATGTATGTATTACATACAGCATCGATTATGATCGTGTATCACAATAAAAATGCTTCTCTATCGGTTCGGCTACGCCAAAATTACCAGAAGCCACGTAAGACGTTGGCGCATTGAGGCAGTAAGTGATCAGTGAACGAACATAAACTGTTTTATGTCTTTTTGCGCCTAGGGACCTGGCAGAATTACGACGGTTGCTCAACTGATGCTCGAAGGAAACAAAACGAGGTTGTAAGGAGGTGCTGTTACATCGTTGTGAAGCATCTAATGGAGTTATCGAAGAGGAATGCTGGAAGAAAGGAGGACGATCTACTCCCACAGTGATGCAAGCGAGCAACATTTAGCGGACCACAAACGACTCGTTGACAAAAACATGTCAAAAGAACAAGAATTGGCGCTGGATGAGATCAGTAAAGCACTTGATACTGACACCCTGTTCAAAAGGATCAATCAACTCTATTACTCAAATCAATCCAGACAATCCTATGAGGCAGAGATGATGTGATAGAAGTTAATTAACTGAATGATAGATAAAAATTGCGTTGATAGGTGATCCTTCAAACGGAGCGGCTTAAAGAACCTAGGAGATGTATCCTTCTTAACGAGGTAAGAAAGACCCGCGTGAATATATCACTTAAACTAACATTATCCTGAAGACGATACTAAGCACTAATTCGGAATCCACTAATAGTGTGACAACGCTCCTGTGATAACAAAGAGATTTTGCGTTAGTCTGGAAATGTATCTCAGAAGAACAGGGGAACCACCATGGTATTGAATAAACAAGAACAAACAGAAAGAAATATGCAGGGAAGTAAACCAGCTACAACAACTATAATGAACGAGCACAGGATTGGATCAGAAAACAGCCAAAGCAGCATACGAGGACGCTAAACTGAGGCTGTCAGCTGTATCAGTAAAGATACGGATATACCAGAACAGTTTCGAGCGGTAACAACAGAAAAGGTCGTTCGTTTAAAGTGTTATTAAAACGTTCTGTAGAAAATTGGAGGCAAAGAACAAACATGCAAGTAATGAAAAAATGGTCCTTACGCTGAAGAACCGTTTCAATTTTCTTGAAAAGTATATTGTGCATATGGGGCAGTGACAACAAAAATGAGGCTAACTATGATGGCAACATAAAAGAACGCAGATGGGATCTCAAGTCAAAGAGAGAATGTCTCCGAGTGTCTCAGAAAGATGAAAACTGGTCAGCGCCAGACCCGGATCAGTTGATTACGTTTTGCTTTAAACGGCTAACGTGTTTGCATTTACGAGTAGTAGTGTTCTTGCAGAGTGCTGGAATAAGGACCACTTTTTTGGCGAACAGAACGAGTGACACATCTAATCTTGAAGGAGGAGAATACGAGTTAGGGCGATGTGACTGAAAACAGGCCGATCTCGTGCCTTCCAGTGATCTGGAAACTCATAATATCTATATTAGCCAATGTATTTTAGGAGCATCTTGAGGCGAACACCGTAGTATTTTATGAACAAAATGGATGCGAGACGAAATCAAGGGGATTTAAAGCCAGTTACTCACGAGGTAGGTCACTAAATTGAGAGTGTAAAATGAAAAAGACCTACATGGCGATCCTAGAGATGATCAGGATCGACTTTATGAAGACACTTGAGCAAATTAATACCACCTAAAATGTCTGAAATTTTACGACTTTATCGACAACTTGACAGAGTACTTCAAAGTAGCTATGAAGCAGTTATGAACAACGCTGTTATTTAACAAAATCTTGCTGGGATCGGTGAAAATCAAGTGAGGAGTCACGAGGTTCAATCTCAAGGTTTCTATTTTGTTTTGCATTGAATTCGTTTGGTTACTTACTGAATGACACGGAAAGGATATTAAATTGGAAGATGACAGTGATATTGTACTTGCTGTGCATGGACGATGTGAAGGTGGATAATCTCATCCACAGTGCATGAATCTTTTTGAAAGATATCAGAATGGAATTCGGTAAGAATAAATGTGCAATGGTTGAAATTAGAAAGGAAAAGTTCTAGAAATGACAGAATGCTGCTACCGATGGCTAAAGTAAACAGTCCTAGGCTAGAAATTTATAAAATAATACATGAAAAAAAATGAAATTTACGATGAATATGGAATGAGAGAAGAGAATCCGCTGAATGCTGAAGAATAAGTTATGCGGAAAGAACATAATTGTGGTCGTTAACCAGCATTACCGTACAAGTGCTTGCTTGAACAGAAAGCGTCATCGAAAGGAGTTAACTGGAAAGGCTGGAACTCGATAGAAATACAAGAAAGATCACAAGCATGTACGGGATTATACGTACAAAAGCGCGCACTCGCACTATGCATCAAGAACAAAAGAAACTATCACAGTATGAAAGATACGCTGGAATTAGAAACGTTATCCACAGGGCAGGCAGTATCTGGGATTAGGAGTGAAGTTAAGTTGCTGATGGCAGTAAACGTTTACGATTTGCGCAGACATCTTGAGATGCAAAAAATCATAATAAAAACGTGCAGAATGCCAGGGACCATGGTTGAAAGAATAATGAACTTCATGGCTAGTATCTTCGTTAACCAAGTGAGGATATCGATATCCATCGGAGTTTCAGCTGCCGATCAAGAAGTAGATTCTATGGCG